TTTTTTGGGCAAAAGAGGTGAATCTGCCTCAAAAAAAAAAAAAAAAAAAAAAAGATTGAATTGGGAGACTAAGTTTTCAACACACATAATTTGAGGTTCGAATTCAAACCATTGCATTTCCCATAAGGCCCTACCTCCTAATCCAGGGGTCCTCAAACTTTTTAAACAGGGGGCCAAGTTCACTGTCCCTCAGACCATTGGAGAGTGTGCACTGTGGGCCCGGGATGAGTCGGCTGCTAAGCAGGACAGGCAGCGGTGGCAAAAACACCTAGAGGGCCAGACAAATGTGCTAGGTGCCGTGGGCCATAGTTTGAGGACGCCTGTTAATCTCATCACCTTGGGGGACAGAATTTCAACATATAAACTAGGGGAAGGGGGGTAACATAGCATTCTGTCCATTGCATTTGCAAACTATGAAATGCTTATAAAGTTGGGTATGATATACGGTTGCTGCCCTTCAGAAACCTGTGCTTTCAAAGGTAGGTCAGCACAAGACATACATATATACCCCATGTATATTTCAAGCTCTTTGCCACTGATCCTTAAATTTTCCTTTGCAAAATTGCATTTTCCTTTTGGAGACACTGGTAGAATCCAGTGAAGTGGGTCCATTTGGGTGTAGAGACTAGTCTGTTTCACCTCCTAAATGTTCTGCTTCCCTGATCAAAATAAAGCCCCAGGAACTGAGTTATGTAGCCCAAGATATTATCACAAAACAATTTCCTTCTATATAAAACAGAAAGAGTTGGAGTTTTTTTTTTTTTTTTTTTTAATTAAAATATCATGATTCCCTTCTGTCTTTCATGTTGTGATGGCACGAGTGACGGAGGGGGGAAATGTCCCGTTTAAATGCAGTTTAATCTCACTCCCTGGGGCTTTAAGAGAAGAAAAACAAGCATCCCTGATCTTCATTATTCTGATAATAAAGAATGTTCTCTTAATTTCCTATTGTTGTGTACAAGATTTAGTGCTCACCCTTTAATTTCAGTGTCAGAATGTGAACTGTAATTAATTTTCATAAAATGGAAAGCAATAAAGTCAGATATATTAAATGCTGGCCGTAGAGGTTGAGATTGTATAATTTACAATTAGGGGAGGTGGGGAAAGAAACAGCCCACACATTAAATGAGTGATAACTCATCTTCGCTCTGGGTTCAGAGATGATGAAAGCGGTCAACAAAACCGCTCAGACAAAAACTCCAGATCTGCTGCTGGGTTATTTGAAACCTTCTCTAGAAAGTCCTTTCAAACTTGGTGTCCCTTCTCCCTAATTCCAACATTTGGATTGTTTTTATTACCATTAATTAACAATAATAATATGCATGGACCTAAATTACCAACCTAATGAATCACTTAAAACCTTCCCTGGCATATGAGCAAACTTTAGATAATAGACGTAATTTAATCGACATATAAAAAAAAAAAATCAGCTTGACCTACTGAGTATTAAAATGCATTGTTCCTTTCAATCTTACCACCAGAGTTTCCAAAGAAAAAGCGAGGCACGCTTATAAATGGGGTGAATCGGTATAGCGATTAACTTATTAATTTAGGCTATACGCTAACAACAAAGGAAGGAAGATGTACAAAAATGATGAAGTAAGACTTTTGCTGGGAGTATAAAGTATTGCCAACTGGAGGCATTAACGGGAGTATAGGCATTTCATAGCCTCTGTTGCATTGGTTCCAGACATGCTTCCTAGGAAATGAAATTTGGAAGTGGTCAGAAGAAACAGTAGGAGGAGAAAAAAAAAAGAACAAGAGACAGCAGGTATTGCTCATGTAAATGGAAGTTATATCCTTGGAGATAACGCACAAACGTATAAATTCACCAAGCCCTTATTCGCACACTCCTATCTCGGGCGTAACTTACTCAGTCCGCAACTCTTCACAACCTGTGTCGCAAAGAGGACACGGAAGAAGTGGCCTGTACAAACGACTGGAGCCAGAAATGAACCGAAGTTCAAAGACCCTCTAAAGTCAGTCCTGGGGTCAAACCACAGCTAACAAAAAACAAGAGAGGATTTCATCGCGTTAGTGGAGGTGATCATGTTCACAGAACTGGCCTGAAGTGTAGCTCTCAATATCTGGGGGACAGGAAGACAAGGGTCATCCCCAGCACTAAAAGGGGGCAAGTGCAGCAACCTCACCAGACATAATTTGAAAGAAAGAGACAATTCAGAGGGAACAAAAATAACTGGAGTCTGCACCCTTTCCAAGGCTATTAATTTTTTTTCTTTTTCCAGAATGTTCCAGGGTGAGGACACTTTGGTTACGATGACTTTTCGCACCACCCAGTTCAGATTTGAAGCATGCCCATCCCCAGACAGTGCACACCACACCATTAGGTGTAAGTTTACCCACCCCTCCATAACCCTCCTCCACCTGCCTGACACCCAACGATGATTATACTATGTGTGAACGTAAAGTGGTTGTCGGTTATACCAATTTGCTGGTGGAGTGCAGTGTGGCTTGTGTTTTCCATTTTGGGACACTTCTTGAAGAATGGACTCCATGTCTCTGCCAGGATATACAATGGTGCAATAACATTTGAGTTTGGATGGCCGAGTCTAGAAACAGCTGCGGTATCTACACACGTTTTATTACCCCGCTCGTGACTTGATGGAGCGTTGGCTGTTTCCAATCTTGCAGTGTGATTTGGTCTATAAACATTCGAGTGCAGGTGCTGCACAGGCTATTAGATTTTTACACGTGACTAGGAGGGCAGTAGGTTAACAGAAATGACCGAGACTATATGCATCTTAGTATGTTCACGCATTTATTAATTACGTATTTACTCCTATCTGCTATTACCCGTAGCAAGGAGAACACCACATACTCAGCACTCTGTCAACCCCAGGGCTGGAGTTAGAACACAGATGATCACCGTCGGTCTACATGGGGATGGGCAATGACCCTCTCTGGATCAGGTAAAAGATTTAACAATACAGTGGGATATTTCATGATCACACGAAAGTTGGTAATGCACGAGAAACAGAAATCTGGGAAAGATTAAATCATACGGTATTTCAAGTTTAACTCTGACGAATGGACTTGCAGGAAAGTAGAGATCTGCCGGGTATTTGAAACCTCTCTCGAGAAAGTCCTTTCAATACTTGTTGTCCTTTCCCTAATTCACATTCTGGTTGTTGTATTACCACTTATAACAATAAAATAATTCATGACTAAACTTACCAACTAAAATCACTAAAAATTCCTGGGCATTATTTGCACAACTAATAGATATAATAGACAAATCTGTATCACCATAAAAAAAAAATCAGCTGCCTTACTGATAAAAAAGAAGGGATGTTCTTCCGTGTTACCACCAGAGTTTCCAAAGAATAAGGTATGCTTAAAATTGGGAATATCGAATAAGATATCAAATATGCTTAAAATTGGGAATACCTTTGACCCTGCAGAAATAGTCATGTCTGATTGCTCAGCTTTTCTAAAACTTCATCTTTGCTATAAAGAATAGGTATTATTTTCTATAAGAGGCAATAAATCAAGTACTATTTCAGTGGCCAGGCGCGGTGGCTCACGCTGTCAATCCTAGCACTTCTGGAGGCCGAGGGGGTGGATTGCTCGAGGTCAGGGTCGAACAGCCTGAGTGAGACCCCATCCTCTATAAAAATAGAAAGAAATTAATTGACAACTAAAAGTACATATTACAAAAAAAAAAAATTAGTGCGTGGGTGGCGCGTGGCCTGAGTCCCAGCTACTTGGGGCTGAGGCAGGAGAATCACTGATGTCCCAGGGTTTGGAGCGTTGCTGTGACGTGATGGCTGACGCCATCGGCACTCCTCCTTAGCGCTGGCAACGAAAGTGAGACTCTGGTTCAAAAAAAAAAAAAAAAAAAAAAAAGATTACATCATACAAACCTACTGTAGGCTCTGGACTAAGCATTGTGCCACAGTGACCAGCAATTTTAGTTATATATATAAGAAGTTATATTATAAAATAGTTTATATATCATATATATAAATATATATAATGTATATAAAATATGATAATATATTAAAATATTATTATTATACTATATAAAATTATATATATATAAAATATATAATATATATAAAATATATATTATAAAATATTTATATATATATAAAATATATATATATATATTATTAATTATATATATTGTGGCATTAATTCTTCGTATTTATGTAGGAACGGTTGGGTCTCGCTCGTTGCTCAGCTGGTTAAAGTCCTGACCTCAGCAATCTGCCCGCCTCGGCCTCCCATAGTGCTAGGAT